TTTAAAATGGTGTTTTTTGTGTTGAGATTTCGTCATTTTCTATTAATTTAGCTTAATCTGTCATGTTAGAAAGTAAGGAAAGTTATAAATAGAATAGTGTTTTTGTCATAATTCAAAATAAAAGTCTTTCGATTTAGTCGTAGAGGTCTGTTTGGATGGCTCGTAATTTATAGAAAATTTTGTTATTACACACCCACGTGTAGGGTGCATCCGGACTTTTGCGAAAACCTTTTGAATAATTCAACGATAATTTCGAGAATTTACGACGCGAAGAATCTGCACGATGTTGTAAACATGCATTTTACAGTTTTGAGGAAGCGGCTGTTTTGGGTTTTCGGTTCAGAGTCACCCCTGCGGCGCTAATCGATTTGCAAATCTCGTCGACAAAGGAAAATAGCTCAAAATTCCGACCTTGTCGAATTCTATTAATTCGGCCAGTTTCACCTTGAACTAGTTTCATTTTTTCCGTCTACGCAAAATTAAATTGTATTGAAAAGTATTGAAGGCACTTAATAAAAAGTAATTAAACAGTTCGGACCGACGCTCAACCATGCATAAAGCCAGGATATTATATTTTTTGTAATGTTAGTGAAACGTCTATTAGGCTGTCGTGGTCTCTTTTTCCTTTTATTGCTGGTCTAGAACCCGAACTATGTAATTAAAGCTTCAAACACACTAATTAGGGAACAATGCTTACAAGCACAATTAGGTGCAATGACTAGACCTTTTAATTATTTAAATTACGGTGGGCTCTAATTTTCGTTTCGCAATTAAGTCGGACGATTTTTTTCACCGGTTTTATATAAGAATTCTTGGCGTGTTAATCATTTTTATATAATTTCGGCTAATTTTAAACCGACAGAAATATGTGTGCTGGATACATAGAACCGTTACGAAATTTTTTCACACCTTAAATTTAATTAGGTTCGCGGGTTCTAATAAATGACAACAATAAGTTTTGAAGTTCAGTGCTACCAGCTGTGGGTCAATTTGCAAAGAATGCGCAATTCAAGCGGACGGCGAAAATTAGGAGTTCCGGGACGAGAAAACGGCGTTTGAAACCATTTCAGCTTTGCTGCACATTCAAAATTACTGTTCTTGCATGCATGAACTTTAACACTCGCACATTCTAATTTTTTTAAAAACAACCTCAAATTTTATAAAAGTTAGTCATCCAAGGCTGTCACTATTATAAAATGAATAAGAAATCGATTTTGAAGTAAAAAATGTTCCATATTTTTCGAGTTTACGACAAGCGATAAAAATAAAAAAAATAATAAATATTCTTTATACCGTATGTTGTTATTTAACCTCTGCATGAAAACATTTTTTTAAACGCTAGGTAAGCAGGTGCTATAATTAAAAGAGCAAAATAACCAAAAAACGCCAACAACGAGCAATGAAATTAAATCACTTTGGGACATCCTGTATTTGGACCTGTGCCTATTCCTCCGCTGCGCCGTACATGCATTTAAATCACCATCACTCGGCTACTTTAAATTCGCCTTATCCACCGTCCGACTTGTCCATCGCACGTCACCCACCATCATCATCACAACCCAAGACCCAAGCGAGGCAATCGAGGCCACTCGGCTGCAATTCAGCGGCCGGATTCACGCGTGCGTTGATTACATACAATCCCGTCAATTTCTTTTTCCCAATAGGTGCCGTCAATACATGATGGAGCTAGTTCACAAAAACAATCGCTTCTCGTACGTCCGTCAGTCGTCATCGCCGTCAAGAAAATTGATGGACCCGGCCAAAGCGCAAACAAACAATCGCGTGCCGAAATCCCGGCCTCGCCCGCGCAAAAAGTCGACACGGGGAAACACAGGTGCCGCCAAGAATAATAAATCTTTGAGGGTTGAGATATCTGGGGTACGAGAAAGCTAAAGAAGGACTTACACATCTCTGGGTTTCACGAGCCAAGCGCACTCAAAAAAATCAACGACTTGTTGGTCGACGAGTTCTTGACCAAGAAAGCCGATATAGGACATAATCAATAAAGCTTTAAAGGCCGAATTCCACGGCATGTCATGTGGCACACCTATCATTGTATTGGGTCGTTCAAACTAAGCAGAACAATGCCGCACGAGGCCTCAGACACATCTAGCCGCGTACCGTGGAAGGAGGTTTAGCGCAAGAAGACGACAGCGTAGCTGTTGAAGCGCGTGCACGATTTGTCGAAATATTCGGTGTCGTGGGGATAATAACGCGAGTGTCGCCCGATTTGGCGCGCAGAACGTATATTTCGTCGGGCGAATAAATCCCGCCCGAATAAAAGAAGGTCAAAGGGAATACGACGTTACACAAAGCGGAGTAGTTGTTCCCAGCGCATTCCAGGCGTACGTGCTCTCGGCTCTCGGCATTGCTTCATAGGTCAGACCGGCGCGATGTATCTCTTGCACAGCAGACCCAGGGGTCCGCGAACGCTGCGACGAAGGTCGCCCACTCGCGGAAATGTCATGCAACGCGCTCCTATTCATGTGTCGCAAATGGACGAGTTACGGATTTACTGGGCTTTTTGCACGCGACTCGGAGCGAAGAGACACGCGATAAATCGGTGACGAGGTGGAAGGGACGCTGGAGACTGCGAGGAAGAGAGTGAAAGGGGGCACGAGAGCTGGGTGCTTTTGTAGTCGATAGACACAAGAGTGTAAGGAGGTTCTTTTTCGGCATTTGGTAGTGTGTAAATTGAGGATCTTAATATTCATAAGTGGAGCTTACAGACGTCAATCCTGGTCATTACAATAAGAATGTAGACTAGTTTGCAGGTTTATTGATTCATTTTCATCCAAATATGGTTGAAATCGTCAAAATTATTATCTTATTAAGTTCGTCCTGTACCTTATTTACAAGGAGTTAAAACATTTTTTTTACAGGGCTGATGTTTGCGTGCTTTTTCGCTATGTGGATCCATCTCAAATGACTAGGGTTCCTGTATGTTGTAAAATTAGGGTTGTGGGCTTGGTATGTGATGAAGCATTTGATCAACAATTAAGTCAATACTATATCTCCTTGTGTGGCTGTTTAATTGTTGGTTCTAGATCTTTAGTGCAGTATGTCGGATGTATTTGCTCCGTTTTAACCTTTTTGAGATAATACATAGGAACTTTAGGCTTAAGACTATCCAACAAAACAATAATTTCTTCTTTTCACTGGTGTGACATGAAACTTTTATTCTTTACCATGGACGCTGTTTTTCTCTTTTCTACGTACGATACAGAAATATCCTTTCCTTTCTTGCCAACAAGGTTTTCTAATCGTTGTAATCTCTATATATAATAAAGTAATTTGATTTTGTTTGGTATATTTGACGTGAACAGATAAGTAGGAAAAACCAATTGCAGTCAGACACGAAGTGTTGAGTAGTTGTTTTGACTTTCCCCTTTTTTAAAAAGACTACCGAAGCTTCGGCATTTACCTGACTGTGTTCCTTACGAAATGCCAAAGTGTTACTGCAAATCTCTGCGTTTTGATGTTAATCTCAATAAAGAATTTCACAAGTGAAGGACCTTTTAGAATATTTAAATTTTGTCGCAGTTATTAAATATTAGCTTTCGTGTGTTAAATTTTTTGTAAATAACAGACACTGTCGAAGTTACGCTTGCTGAGTATTTTACAAACTCTTTGCATACAGTAACAATACAAACAATTATGTAATTATTTTAATCCGTGATTGATCATTTCCCCATAAGCATTTATGCACAATCTGAGAATAAACATGACTCAAGGGAAACAGTTAGATTTTGACAACCGACTACCTGCATCCTACGAATTCCTATTTTCATTCCGTACGCACCGGACCGCTCTTCGAGCAAGCAAAATCCTGCCTTGGCCTCGAACCAGGAACCAACTAAACCGCTACGATTTGCAAATTTTCGGCATTTAAGCAGACTTCTTTTCTTAATTGGCCAATTTTAACAACTCAGCATGGCGACACCACAAATCTCCGAGAATAAATCAACTTAATGTGTACAGACATTCGACGATTTCAACGCGATTTCGGTTACCCGCAGTTTGGAATCTTAAAACGGTCATCGGCGTACCTTCGCAGCGGGTAATCATTAATTTAAGAATTTCATTAGCAGCAAATTTAGCCGTCATGGAACATGAAAGTTGGTAATGCTAGACATGTTGGCTGTGCAGTTTTTTCCACGTTTGACGAAAGGTCGACCGAAATAAACAGATTTGACGCGCATGACATTTTAGCCGTTGTTAGATAAAGAGTAATTTTTTTCAAACAACGGCGCTGTTGAGTGTAGAAAATGGTTATTGGCAAACTTTTGTTTTTTGCGTTGTCGTCGTTATAGGTCGGATGATGGCGGACGAAGGATGTTCGTAAAGAGCGAGGATCAATTCGTGGTGTGAAGTTTGCCCGAATTGGGTTTTTCTCTGACGTCAGTCGATGCCCACAATGCGATATTTCGCGCATTTTTGAAGAGAAACTCGAGCAAAGTGTAACGCTACAATTATCACGATAAATATTCATTAAGCGCCATTAAGAAGCAACGAAACGAGGTACATTGTTCGGCCTGTTCTACAGGAAATAACCAAATTCTCATGAATGATTCGCACAATAATTATATTGTTTTAATTGTTTTAAAATTTATTTCCATTTCCTTCGACGTCGGATAATTAATCGGGGCGTCATCTTCCTCTATTGTCTGTATCTGTGTCAGATTTTGGGCCACTTCTTCGGAATGTAGGCGACCAGAAGCGATACACCCTGTACACATGCTGCGCGTTCGACGTCTCAATTAAACCTGTACGCTTCCGCATAAAAAGCCGAATATAATATACAGCCAGCAATCGATAATGTAAAACGCTTGATTTATTGTCCGTAATTAATGTTTTCTTGCTATCATTACTATCGTTTAACATGCCTCTTCGAAATCATCGATAACACTTCTCTAAACGTCATCCTGCCGTAAATAACGCAATTATAGAAGGTTTAAACGTCACACTCGCGTGCATCGACTTAATAATAATTGACTTACCACTGGAAAAACTGCCGAATTGTGAAGACGATTACCTGAAAAAGATTAAACATAATTAGACACGATTTTTTCGCACAAGATCTGATTTAATGGTTTCAGCACCAGTTGCTGGAACTGTATCTGGAGCTTTGAATAGATGGGTCGATTCGAAACCACAATTTTGTGAACGGAGATGATTTGGTAATTAGAAGAGGAAGAGGCGCGGAAAATTGTATTAAATGATGATGATCCTAGCAGAGTTTAGCAGCAGGAGAGCAGCGCACTGTTTTTGCATCATTATTATCATTATTATTATTATTTAAAATAGAAGCAAGTGTTATGACAGCTGCTCAGCGGCAAGCATAATAACACCATGATGAGTCATAACAACTATTTTTGAACCAGAGTTTGTTTACTTTGGAAATGTCAAACCGACCCAAACACGTACCAAACACGTCGACCTATCGAAAATTCTCGTTTTTAATGGCATTTTTCTTTAGCCGCCGCAGTGTTTACATAAAAGCTTCCTGAATGAATTAATTTCGATTCGAGTTCCACGCCAGCAAGCGATAACCTTTCCATCTTGCTCTTTGTCAAATTACGTAAGTACCACCACGGCAAAGCAGCCTTCACACCCTGCTTGTCATTGTTGAGTCGGCTTTCGTAATTTCGCCCGATTTACAGTTACTTATTTCGGTCTGCGGTGCGCATAACAAAAATACAAAACGGCAATAAAGCGCCGAATCGGTGTTAGATAAAATATACATACAACCGTTTGGAGTAACGGCGACGAATTTTATTTCGTATAGTGTATAAACATATTTATTGCCATTGTGATACAACACCCATTTTCGACCGGCAGATGTCTGACATGTGCGGTAATTTAACCAATCACGTGGCGCAATTAACGCGATTTTTTCCAGGTACTACCTTCCCTGCATGGCTAACTGAGATCTAACAAAAAGTCGGATGTAATGAGGGGTATTGAGATCCGTAGACGATTAGGTTAATTAATGCCACACAAGCGCTGCAAAAATCGGCGCGCCGAGATAGTACCGGAAAAAGTGCAAGCTTTATAGGTCAAGCGAACGATTTTTCTGCCGAAGCTTGTGACATACGGAGCTGAAAAAATAATCGCGTGAAACGGATTCAATTGGGGCAATTATTCAAATTTTAACTGTTTCACGACTCCACTGTACAAAGCAAGCCAATAATTACAAGCAATAATTTACAGCGTGATAATAAGCTCTTTCCTAGTACTGCCTCTAATTATTATCTTATCTATTACGAATATGGCTGACAAGTGAAACTGCACATGTTATTAATAAACGCAATTATGACAGGTTGCGAAATTATATATGCCACTGTTGACAGACCGTAGAAACCAAAGTACATAATGATATGGTACTACCACAAAAATTTTGGCGATCGACTGAAAAGGTCAAGAACTTTGTACTGGTAAACGGTTTTGGAACTTTTCACCAACTTTGGACAAAAAGCGGTACGTATACGATGGTACTGAATTTCGAACGGGGCAAACACCATAAAGTAAATGAATAATGGAAGTAACCCATTTCGTGCAATCTACCGGTTCGCCGATATAACCGGAAGACATTTTTAAGACAAGTAGTACCGCCAATGGTACTGGATCTCGCTAGCGTGCAGATTTTAAATTTGCTCTTTTTTCCGAAACCTCATCGAAATTTTGCTCGCAGCCCGAGCAAATCTCGTCCGATACCATCTAGTAAATTCTTCCGCCACTCCTGTGATATTATCACCCACGTCAAACCCCAAAGCGCAAGTGAAACCCGATTTACTACAATTCGATTTAGTTCTTAACGAATTAGTTCTTAACTGGTTGCAATAAAGATCACTCATCGATTGCACTTTCTAGATTGCAATCGCCAACTTTATGACTTGTAATAATGGTTTATGAGCCAAATTTAAGCGACGTCCAACATTTTTATTGTCAGAAATTACACGTACGAAACGCCGGTTTTCAATTATACCAAAACTTGTTTGACTTTTCGGATGTGAGTGATTTCAGCAGCTCGGAGGGACACCAAACTGTGGGCGGATTATTTCTCATGATTCGCTCTGATGGCCTGATGGGAAAATCCAATTTCACTTGCATTTGCGAGTCTTGCTAACAATTAAACGAGAGTTACTCAACTATATGTGAAAATCACATAGAAAATGCATCGATTTGCATTTTTAGCGAGTCTCACATGAATCATCTGCGAGCAGTACTAACGAGCTAATGGCTTCTGCAACGTTTGTGTTTACATGCTTAACACGAAAACGAAACTTTCTTTGGAATGACGAAGCGTTAAGTTTTGCACATAGAGTGGACGCAAATCCGACCTTCCGGGACCCGGTCGTTGCCAGAACTATTAGTGTCATCAGGGGTAAGCGAATCCGCAGTTGGCTATGGCTAATAGAACGGCGTTGCTAATCGGTAATTGTCGATAATTCGCGTCGAGAGCATTGTTCTTTCCTCTGTCGTCTTGCGCAGGCAACTTCCAAACGTGCCAATTTGCATCAGCAACTCTTCTTTCTTTGTCTCGACACAATATCCAGTTTAGACCCCTCGAATGTCAGCGTTTGACATTAAACACCGTTGCAAAACAAGAGCGACGTCCACACCCATCCCCGGTGGGAGTCTCCAATCCCATGAATCAAACACCCACAATTAAAATATTGACACTCGCAAGCATTACGCACCGGATTTTGCCCGGAGTCCCAGCCGGAGTTGCCGGTGCGAGCCGACCTTAGACCTTGGTACGCGGAACTTCAAGCTTCACTTGACTTAATGCAGCGGCTACGAGCTAATGAGCAGTGGCCGCTATTCGGCAATGGTCGCAGTGTTAAGGGCAATCCACCGCAGAGCGACCTTAATCTCCGCGCAGGGGAAAAAATGTCATTTTCTCTCAGATCAAAACTAGTGCATGGCAGGCGAGTCGGCACAAGTATGCGGAGATTGCGCCACTGCTGCACCCACATAACGATAGAATGCGTTTTTATCCAAGGGGCAGTGTGGATGGATAGCTGGGTTGGAAGCGATGTACGCTTTTATTAAGTTGTCACACTTGCTGGGAATGCTGACGTGTTGCAATGGAGAGAAACGCACGGGATGAATTGCCGCTCGTTACATAGTAGGGTATGTTATGACATGTGTGGCTTAATGGAAGAGGAGAACGTGACAGCTTGTCAAGATCTTAGAGCGAAGGTTAGTCTATTTGCTAGCGGATGTTAATAGTAGGTGGGTCGTGTCGCAAAATTTTTGTCATAAGGGTCAGTTTAGAACGCCATGCAAATTCAGTGCATATGATGAGCGGCACACGCTGATCGATTTTTGGCTCGTGCGCTAGAAAGAGATGACAACGCCCGGTTGAGTTAAATTATGTATACAGTATGCAGGGCGGCTTTAGATTAACTCGAGTGTCATAATCACGTTCTTCCCTGTAACTGAGATAATCCGTAGGAGACGCTTCAGAGACAATTCCTTACGTAATAAATACAGATCGCTTCAAATATCCCCACACTAACTCACCATAGACCTGGCAGGTTAACGGCGCCGCCGATAACAAGTTTCAAATAAAGAAGCTTATTTAAATTAAATTACAGCAGTTTAACTGAACGTTTAGTGCTTATTACAAAATCTTGTAACACTAAAATCTCGTAATATATTAAGTTTGCACGAAACGAGTCTTCTCACAGCCTTCAGATTCTAATCAATTCCTAGCGGATTTAATTCTGTTAATTAATGGACTCGTTCGGTGATATCTAAATGGCTACACGTGCAAAAACCTCCATCAGTGTCACCGGTCAAAGTTCCTTGACGTATTAACCCACAATGCACCACGCACCAGACATCTCAACTACAACTTAAGTCGACTTTCCCTGAAGCTTTCCATCTTAATAACAGCGTTCCAGCTGACAGTTATTTTTCGTAGTAGCAAATCACTAGAAATGTAACATAATCACACGTTGAGGAGGATCTTGATCTGTTCCCTTTCGCACACCTCGCAATTAAACCGTCTCGAAATTAGACAGCACCAGAGAACGACGTTATAAATTTCGTACGCACGTGTGTTTTGGGAAGAACAAACACGGCTTCTGGTGCGAATCGAGCCTAATCCTTCCAAATTATCACCTCCGTGAAAATGTGCGTTATTATAACGGTACGGTTGCGTACTTTATTGTTGTTTTTATTATTGTTATTAGACGCTAAATCATTTTCGTTTAGGATAATAACGACGTGATATATTTTTTGCTCTTAAATTAATCATTTATATTAATAGGTTTGTTTACAGTTATTTATTAGTAAGGCGAAGCAAACTCGTCAGTTCGGTTTTGCTCAATTAATTTTTTTCTTCCAAAACAAACCTCTGCTCGAATTTGAATTTCTGGTGGCCGAAGGTGGGTGCAGGCGCTGCAAGTGAGGCCATCTCACCTGTTTGTATACTTTTTCGAATTGTGTTTATTTTGCTGTTTATACTTTTTGTTTTAATAAAATTTGTTTAATGTCGTTGTTCCCTGGAGTGACTCGTGTAGCCCAGGGGCGATTTTTTTTAAGTCTACTTCAGTTTGTAGTTCAAATATTTGCCTCATGCATAAAAATGTTTGAAAACGATTCATCGGTTAATATTTACCATAAAAATGTCGTTAAAAAGTCAAGGTAAATGTTGTGAAAATATCGCTTATGGGAAAAATCATTTGTATTCATCTTGGGTTGTGTACACGGTGATACACATTTTGTTATTGAAACTGAGAGCGTCTGGTTTCTTGGAAAAAATAAGAAAAGTGTAAAGTTCGCAGGTGGAGAAAAGAAACTTCTTTTTATTTATATTGTGGGTAGAGTGGGAATACCACAGAAGTAATGTTTTATTTTTAGTCGCAGAACCAGAAAAAATGTCCGTCACACACGAATGCAAGTTGCCATGTGGTTAAGAGACGGTAAAAACTCAAGAGGAAACAGCAGTAGAAATCAATGAATGAAAATACAAGAAATAAAAGTAAGAATAATAAATAGCTAGAACACAAATGAAATAAA